TATATATATATATATAATTATTTTAAATTATGTTATATTTCGAACAATGATGATTCAAACACGAATGAATGCATCACTGTTTGTATTTAGTTGGTTTAACTAAACAAAACAAAATTTATTAACCTTCTTCACTCATTGAACGGAACACGAACTGTTAGCCAACGAGCTTTTTTGACGTGAGTGCACTCAAATTTGGGTGATCCAGATCTGGCGATAGGTTCCCCGCACTGAGGAATTTTTATTCGGTACGTGCACCGCATGGACGCCTACATGCGGTACTGAATAAAAATTCGCCACGTGGAATTCGATTCCATGTGGCCTTTCACATTAAAAATGTCAATTTTTTACCCTACCCGACCCGAATCCCGCCCAGAAAAAAAGCGCCTTTTTGTCCTTTTTGATTCCTGCCAATTGAAAAAAAGTGGCATTTTTTCGGCTTTAGGGTTTAGTGATTCTGTATATTCTTGTTTTTTGCCTCGTGTTGGCTGGAGCTAGTTCGATGGAAATAATTTTTAACGAAAAAATGTTGTTGGAATCTTAAAATACTCCTGAGAAACATAACAATGAGATGAAATCTCAGAATATTTCCGAGAATAATGAGATTGGGCAAAGTTTAGATGCTGCAGAAAGACATCGATAGGTACGTTGATGACTTGTTTGAATGCAGTTCTAGGTTTTATGGAATAATTTTATTGCTAATGAAGTTTGCTCTAATTTTTAGATGGGTTTTAACGCTAAGTTTCGGTTGAGTGGGATGTGGTGTTATTTAGGTAATATCATGGTGATACACTGATTGTTTTTGTAGTTGCTCTCCATTGCTTACTGTTCATTAGAATATTAGTTGGGGTTTGATGTTATTTTGGTAGTATGACAATGTTATTTTGGTGGTATCATAATGTAAAGTGAATGTCTTGAGGATTTGATGTTATTTTGGTTGTATCATAGTGTTATTTTGGTAGTATCACAATGTAACGTTACTTTCATGTGGATTTAGGGTTACTTAGGTATTATTACGGTGATATACTAGTTGTTTTTGCAGTTGTTTTCCATTTCTGGTTGTTCGTTATAATATTAGTTGTGATTTGATGTTATTTTGGTAGTATCACATTGTTATTTTGGTAGTATCATAATGTAACATTACTATCGTGGGGATTTGGTGTTATTTTTGTAGTATCATAGTGTTATTTTGGTAGTATCACAATGGAACGTTACTGACGCGGGGATTTGGTGTTATTTTGGTAGTATCGCAGTGTTATTAAGGTAATATTGGATCTGCTGACTTGATTTTCTTTTAGGAGGCTAGTAACATTTCTTAATGGCATTTTATAGTATTATTATGGTATTATTATCTTGTTATTTATGTATTGTAACATTATATTAATGATGTTTAAATCTGCAGTCACCAGAGACAGAGAAATTGCTTAATGCAGTGGTCCACAATGAGATTGAAGCATATGAACAATATTGTTTATAAGCACACCATATTGGATTTTGTCGGCACTATTTCTGGTGTGAGGTTTGTCCGTAAGAAGCTGTCGGTCATCGGAATTGAAATCCCGTTGCCCGCTTCGGAAGGATGTTTTAAAAATTTTTATTTTTGAAAAAGATGAAGTCAAACTGACCCCATAATTTTCATAGTTTAGATGAAAGAGCACTTTATCTCAAATCCTGTATCTATCTCGAAGGATGAACACAAGAATTGAGGGTGAGGCTCGATCAAATAAACCAAAGAAAGTTATGACATCCGTTTGGTCTGCGAAACCAATGTATTGGCCGACAAGTTCCCCTATTTAATATAAGGAATTAAATAGGGTTTATATTATGCTGGGTTCG